ATTTTGCTTTTTTTCCATTAGGTTTTTAGAAACAATCTGGTACCCTATTTTGAGAATGCATTACCTGAACTTATATTTGGTGTGTGGTCCCTACAATACATGTTCTCTAGGGACAGGATGCAAATGACTGTGTTTATTGAACATGATGGAAGCACACATTGAAGAAAGCAGATGCTCCCTGACCTCTAACAAAACATGTTTTACTACCTTTTCCAGGTATAATTTAGGAATCTCTTTCACCCCTTCTACATAACAGAGCCAGTGAATACTGTATGTGAGTGGTGTGTTTGTGTTCTCTCGGTGGCAGGGATCCTTCACTGACATCATCTGTGCCTGTATAATCATCCAGGCCCCAGACTCTCCTCAGGGGAGTCCAGCTGAGACCTAGCTTCTCTCTCTCTCTGTCGCTCCCTCTACTTATTTATCTCTCTCTAGCTTTCTCTCTCTTTTTCAAGGTTGCAGTTTATGGCTGAGTGTGGCACCAGCGATGGATTAGTTAGACCGCATGGCCTGAGATCTTTGGCAGTTTTAGTGTCTCTCTTTGCTCTGTGATCCTATCAGTTGACTCCACTGGAGTGCATCCTCAGTCTCTCAGATAGAGTCTATTGCAGTGAAGAAAGGGTTTCTCATACAAAGAATAAAAATAAATAGAAAGAATAAAAAGAAGATCTGCCAAACCATCTGGGCTGTATAAATGTGTTCTTCATCACTGTGGAAACACTAGTAGTCTGAGATGCCATCAGCCATATTGAATGGCATTGGCATTTGGCAGATGCATATACAAAGCAAGCAAGAAAATGTGTCTGTGATCTAAAACTAACCCCTGTCCCCCACACATACACATGTGGCAGTTGTTCATTGCTGAGACTGATGGTGTTTCTGGAGGAACTGCGTATCCAAAAATTATATTTATATGCAAATAATTATTGTATACAGAGATAGATACTTTATTAACCACAGAAGGGAAATTCAGTAACTAAATTATGTAACTAATTAGTGATTTATATTCATCTGCAATATTTCAAACCAAAGCAGATGAGATGTCAGCAAAGGTAAGCAAGGACATTTGACTATGACACTGACTTTGACCAGTCTTAGAGTGTCGTAGGGATGACTCATTTTTGTACCCCAACCCAGAAGTAAGTATCACCCTGGTTCCCCTGATAAAAAGCAATGAGATTTTCCATAGGCATTTGGATTATTGCAAGAAATAAGCTCTGTGACAAACAATGGTTTATAACACTTACAGATTTTGTTCAGCAAGATAATCTTCACAAGTGAACACCACTTTTACGATTTTGCCAGAAGTAAAATGCTATTGTTAGGCTATAAATGAACTACACCAGGGTCCCATGACTTCAGCATCAGCCCTGCTGCTTTCAACTTGTAATTTGATTTAGTGCACTTAATTCTTTTACAAAATCCTTTCCTCTTAGCATGACCTGATCTAGATGGTGATCATGGTTGTGTCAATTAGAATAATCCCAAACAGCCTCTATAGTCTCATTTAGCCACTTGTTAGCAGTGGCCTTTTTTAAAGACACATAAAAGCTTTAAAAATCATGAGTGGGATATTTACTCATGTATTTTATGTTGTAGAACAAAATGTGTTAACCACAGACCTTATTCAAGCATCTAACCAAAAATCCATTCAAAAAGCCCACTAGCGAGGGCGAGGGAACCAGAAGTACAGAACTGCTAACTCAGTTTCAGGTTTTAGGACTCACCACTATAGTACTCTGTTGTGATTTTGTAACAGTAAAAGTATTTGACCACCAAGGGGCAGAAGTACTTCAAAGCAAACTCTGAAGTAGAACCATTACATGCTATCAGCTAACTGAGTAGTTATGGCTGCATGTCAGAACAGTGTTCAGAATATAACTTAATGCAGGTCTAACCAGGGTCATGATTTGTTTTTTATTTTCCCCAAACCTTGATTATGCAGTTGTAGTACAAACACACCACCACAAAATATACTCTGCTTGTACAAAGCAGTTGCACATGACCTTATCATGATGGTGCTTTCTGTTCCTGGAGCCACAGTCTAAGGGTACAGTAGTGATAATCAAACAAAGATCGGCTTTTAATGTTGGGAGCCTCTCCTTTGTCTTGTGTAATAGGTTTATTTATCATGAAGTGTTTAGCATCTTTATGAATTCCTCTATCCACCAAATGTCTTCCTGTACGTCGTCCTTCCATTCATTGGTGTTGTCATAGAACTCGTTGTTGATCCTGATGATGTATTTGCACCACTTTTTCTAATATCTGGGAGAGTATGTAGATGAGAGAGGTGTATTTGCTTTAACATACATCAGACATTCTAACTACATAGCCAATTCATCTAAGCTGATGCTTGTTGAAGATATCCAGTCATTATTGGTTTCCTCTGGCATGCTACCACTTGTTTATATTGTATATATCAGATGGCCTTGTGATCTCTGTACTGTATGCTTCATAGTAGAGCTGCAATATGCAGTTAATTCACTGGATGGGGACCTGTAGTCTTGAACTTGAACTCATGTAGGCTGAAGAACCTGCCATCTGTTCTGTATGATATTTAAACAAACCGTTGGTCACACACTACTGTACTGAAGGCGATGAACAGTGTGGATGCAGTGATTCATTACTGGTTCACTCTTGTTTTTACTGTTAGAGGTTGTGTTTCTGATAAATAGCTGCTGCTGTGTAGCCATGAAGCTAGTTCAGAGTCAGATTTCTGGTGAGATGGCTAAAGAGTTTATCAAAAGGACCTTTACACTTTACATTTTCATTACATTAATTCGACACATGCACACCCTCAGAAGGCCGTGTTTCACAAATCTTATGCAAAGGACCCTGGAAGGAAAGTTGTTGATAAGGCCAGCCCTGTGTAACCGTTCCTAAAGGATTTTTCTGCTGTTTCCACATTGTTCTTGCTTTGAGAAACAAAACACAGAGTAAACAGACATGCAATTTGTATTTTTGCAATATTTTCCAAAGGTGTTTACAGACAACCGTGAGAATAAAGTTAATAACAAGTAGCACAAAGGTGAGCACAGACCTTCGCCCATAATGCCAGTACACCTAAAAGCAATATTCCCATGTTAGTTTGACCCTCAGAATATGATTCATTGCGGCATTTGGATATAACTGATATCATCATTAGTTTGAAAGTTATTCAAGAAAAATGATATTTCACTAATGGCAATTTTTGAAGATACTTCAAATGTGTTGACACTCTGTTGAATGAACCAAAATATAATGGATTGTTCCATGGACCACACCCTACCTTTCCAAAAACATTCATCCAGATCCATTCATAACTTTTTGAGTTATGCTGTGAACAAAGAAACAAACCAACAAACATTGGTAAAAACATAACCTACTTGGCAGAAGTAAGAAAAAGATAAGTGTAAGATACGTATGTATGTACCGAGGTGAAAAAAACACTTTGCAGGTATTATGTTTGTCTTATAATACTAAACTCCCCTGACATGTTCCTGTTAGCATGTACGGCCCTGTGGGTATAGTATGTGTTGCTGCTGCAGTTGTGTTATTACGCGTGCATGTTCTTTGGTCCTTCTGATTCAGCGATAAACTGGGATCTTTGAGTGTTCAGCCGAGTCTGTTAGAGTACAGTCGGTTTACTTCCACTGGTTCCAAACCGCATGTTTTAGAGAAGCTAGTTTAATGGGAAAAGTACTCCTAAAAGACATATAAGCCCTTAAATAATAAACTGTCCCCACTATAACTACTACCACTACTTATACAACCACTGCCAGACTACTATTGCTCTTAGTACAGCTAAATTTATCAGTGTCATGTTTTGTAGATACGTAGTTCAAATTTCCTGACAGTACTGTAACATTATGACATGGAGAACAAGAAAGAAGTATTTTCCTTAATAAATTCTAAACTGAAAGATGTTGTACTGTTAGTAATATTTGCTTTGAAATGCACTGGTTGAAATATATGATGATCTTTGAAGGTAAATGGCGAAGTGAACTTGCTTCTGCTTTCTGATGCGCCTTACTGTGGCTTGATGTTGTGTGGTATACGAGAGAGAGGTGGTTTGAGCAGTGTTAGGAAGCGATGACAGGGATGGAGGAGGAGTGCAGTGCTGTGAAGGCAGGGTTCAGTGAGGTCACTAGTGAGGATGCAGAACACTGCAGGATCAAATGACATCGGTTTTCTTAGTTGCATCAAAAGTATTTCATCTAAAACTGTTAATAAAAGTTAACTTTAACAGACATTGTATAAAGTACCTAACTAACCCCAAACTGATCTGGTTAAGAGCCATAAAAATACAAATATGAGTGAATACTTTGCAGCAGTGTCACAAACTGACTGTTTCCCATCATGCATCTGTCCCTTTGTTGTAGATTTTGTAACATTTTTCCAAGATATAAAATACTATTCTTTCCTACTACATTAAAAGCTGTGTTGGTGCTCAGAAATTAACATGGGTTTGTAGTGACTGTCATATTGCGCTGGCTGTAAAAAGCCTGGGCTTGAAGCTGTCCAGTAAGAGGAAGTGCTGAACCTTTTATCTTGACATATGGTCGAGTTGAGGGCAAGAACAATATCACGGCTCTTTGACTGCACAGCATAGGAAGTGTTGGGAGCACATTTGCGACAGTGCTGACAGATCATATTTTTTGAGAGTGAGGTAGTATTCAGTATGTTGGTATTTACATGGCAACCTCTACGTGTTGAAATTCCCTGTGCAAAGTTTCTGCACAAAGCCACTTTGCAGCTTTCGAACATCTTCTAACAGGATCAATGTGTTGTTAAATTTGCGTCTGTCCAGGATGGATTAGATTTATTTATTTAGCCTTTTATTTTGGACTTTCGTGCTCTCCTGATGCTTCAGTTTTATTGTTCCTGGCATCAGATGTTTTGTGTTTCATTTTCCTTTTCTTTGTCCCATTCGGTCTCCT